CCTCTTTGCTGGCACGTGCAGCCTTTCTCTCCTGAAAGAGTCACATAGTGGCAATGACAAACTGCTTACAATTTAAAGTAATTATTTATTTATTTTCTGATTTTGCATACCGCACGCTGGGGCTTCTCTGGCACCTCTTCATCCTCCTCCTCATTGGAGAGGGGATCCTGTAGTAACATAGAAACAAAAGGACACAATGCCCAACATGGTCCAACTATTCTCACCACAACATTAAATCAAAGTGTTACAATAAAATTGAAGGATTTAAATTTATCTCAAGTCACTGACATAAATTCAACAGCTGTTTTAATTTTTCTTAAGGAAATAAATCAAAGGCCAAACATAAATGATACCAATTCCAAATGTTTATCTTTTATAGTGGGTGGAGAGCCCCTCTTTTAAACTACTTGATGTTTTTGCACCTTATGTTTTTTCATCTTTTGCTTGACCGCAGCACGGATCGCATCCAGAGACTCTTCTTCCTCATCATCCAGACCATTGTCAAAAAGTTCTGTGTCACCGAGCGGACATCCACTGTCATTCAGGGTCCCAGGATGAGGCATTTCCTGAGGAAATGGGAGTAAAGCTGATTTTAGTTGCACACACATTACCCAAATTGTATGCTGTTTTTATGGCTTCAACATTTTGCACAACACACAAGATCTAAATTTTAAAACTTTGTTCAGTTTGATCTGCAGTTTAAACCTTATTATAGTGCTCGGGGAACCAAAACACAAATGCTTCCACAACAGTAGTTTGATCATTACACTGATGTGGTAGGAAGTGTTTTTCCCCCCTTTCTTCCTGACAACAAAGTTCTTCCAGAAGCAGATCTGTTTACTTGGCCTAGTAGTTGGACATGCACTGAAAAGCATCATCTGACTGGGACATAAAAAAAATAAATACATTTTTTTTAAATGTCAAAGGTTTCCAATTTTGAGATAAAATAATGTTTGAAAAACTAATTTTGACAACACATTTAACACAATCATTTGAGGATTTGTGAGTGCGCCATCTTTGTCTTTTTTCTGGTCACACTGACTTAAATAAAGTGATCGAAAGGCCACATGATTACATTAAAAAAATCTACTTAAATGGTATATAACTTTTAACATGTAACGTACTTGACATAAAATCTTTCTTCACCTATGTAAGCGTAGTCCACTTTGCTGACAATCATTCACTTTGCGGTTCAAAAACATAATTCTACCTTTTATTGATTTTATTATTTTTAATAATATGTTATAGACCGGGCTGAGACAGTCCACAGGACGGATTATTGCCCATGTGTGTGAGAACCCTTGATGTATCAAACACCAGCCAAAAAGAGTTCAGACACTAAAGAACTCACCTCATCCCTTTCAGAGAACCTCTCCTCCTTCTTCAGCTTTTCCACCGCTTTGCTGCGCTTTTCCTTTTTCTCATGATGTCTCCTGCTCTTCTCTCTTTCCTTCACTTCTTTTGTGGATTTCACTTTCCTCTTCACCACTTTCCCCTCTTCCTCCTCCATTTTTCCACTTTTCTCCTCCTCAGGCTCACTGTCCTCGCTATCAACAGGAGCTCGGCTTATTCTCTTGCACTTCTGTCGTCCCTTTTCCTTCTTAGTCTCCATTTCCTCTCCACTGGAAGCAGATAAGACTAGTGCTTCTGCCATGTGTACGCTGCTATCTGCAGCTGCCGCCTCTTCCTCGCTGTCACTGTCTCTAATGGCATTACGGTGAGGCTTTCTGTGCACCGTGATGTCTTCGTCGTCATCAGAATCTGATAAATAAGACAGCAAAACCAACCAATTTAGAAAATTAGAATAGAGTAGAATGAAAATGGTAGAAAATGGTAGAGTGGTAATCCCAGCTCATATCAATGTGTAATGAAACAAAATACTCGAGTTTGCACTAAACAGTGAGAAAAATAAATTCAAGTAGAATTTTATTCTAATGCATATTTTTGTTTAACCAAAATAAATAAATAAATGAAATAAAAATAAAAAAGGAAGACCAAAACATAAAAGGTATTTTTAAAAATGTACCAGTAATGTCTTTTTGTAATTTAAATAAGAGATTTTCAACATGAAACAGGCCTCTGGGAGTGACTAAACAGATAAGCTGCAAGTTGAGTAGTTTGGAGACAAAGTTAAGAGACAGGTAAAGCAAACTTAATGTGGTTAAAGTGGGAGAGTGGACATATTGGTCACAAAATAAAAAAGGGGGAAATGGAGCTTCAAGGCAGGAGAAAAAGCAGAAGTCAAAAACAACATATGTCCTCAGAGAGTGGTTTGGCTCACAGCCCTGATGAAATTTCTTTGATGGAAGAGAAAAAACATCTTCAGTGAGCACCAAGAGTTCTTATATGCAGGACAATTATATACAGAACACCTTGATATAAACCCTTCTGAAGAAAAACAAATATGAGTCCAGGGAGAGTGAAATACTTCATTATTAAAGTATTTATACTATTTCCTACAGAATTTCCCTTGGACTGATACGTTACTCTTTGCCTTTATTATTTTTCAAATAAATTTGGTCCTTTGGAAACTGGACATCTTTTAGATACTGGTTTGCTTTCATTTATAACCTTTGAATGTATATTTTCTAAAGCACTGCAGCTTTGATTCTTTGGTCAGACTGGCTCATTATGATAACTAGTGTTTCTCTGCCTACTCTGGTGTCACAGGCAGTTGCATAAATGCATACCTCATTTACACAGCCAGAGTGGCTCATTGTTATGCTGCTTTACCTGAACGACCTTCTCTTTTGTTAGAGGTGTCTGTAGCCATCTCCTCTGCTGGTGAGCCCACCCCGCTGTCTGAATCACTCTCTGTTGCAGTCTGGGCCACAACTGGGAGTGCCTCAGCCTGCATACAGTAGCAGACAATACACATGAATTGTTGCTGCATGGGGGGAGTAAAAGGTATTTAGTGGAAAAAAACTTGAGGTTAAGTATCAACTGAAAAACAGTTCATCTAAGGCAAGGGTAGAAGTTCAGTTTAGGCTACTTGATTGAGATCCATGTAGTGTGGGACTGCTTTTGTTAAATCTAGTAACACTAGGAATTCGTTTCAAATGGAGGGCAACCCAAATTGCTGCATAGCTAATTTTAAAAAAAAAAGTACCCCAGGATAGCATGTTTCTGCATTTGACAAAAACACAGAGGAGAGGGTGTTTACACAGAGGATGGGTGTCACTTTTGTCACTTTGAGCAGCGAAACGCTTGTTCGTTGACAGGACTGGCGCCTTGAAGTAAACCAAACAATGAGCAGCATGTCTGCCTTTCGACGTTTCTAATTATCACCATTCAGGCAACAGATAAGGCTGTCCGTCACCTAGGTCTTACTTTAACAAAAGGATTTAAAATTAAAATGTCAAATTGACACGCTTTAAAGGCCCAGGCCAGTTATCACTATCCAAAAGAGCTGAGCTAAACCTAACCTAGCCAGGAAGCTAGGTGGCTAACGAAATGTGCAGTTAGCATATTTCTTTCGATCTTGCCAATCTCCACCAAACAAAAACGACCCAATCAAACAGAGCGATATATGCAAGTCTAGAAAGGTTAGGCAGATGTTCAAGATAATCACTGACAAACCAAAGCATTGCCTGACCTGTTGTTGAGAAAGCAAGCTCATCTTTGTCCGCTGGCTAGTTTACGTTCTTTTTTTGCAAAATAAACAGGCTCAGACGGTACCTCGTACTCTCGTGTTAGCCACAGAAAAACGTGGACAAGTCAAAGCGACCAGTGGTGCTTCTGTATTTTAATTGACATTTAGTTAGCGTTTAGCCGGAAAAGTTATCTTCCTCCCGCCTGTTCCATACACACCGAATAGAAATTTTGATGTTTCGCGCGCCGTGACAGCTGGCCCACAGTTTTTCGTCACCGGAACGTCAATCACAGTGTTCTCGATTTCCTATTGGTCTGTTTGGCGCAGCTGTCCCGCCTAATTTGACTACGCTGCAATGCAAAAGCGTTTGCTTAATCCCCGGGACCTCTCCGGCGGGTGGGGGTTGTTGCTGGAGAAGAAACAAAAAGGAAAAAATTCCAAATATCAGAACAACTTTAACACTTATTGTAATGGTAATTAATCATAAAGCACAGTTATTGAAAATGCACCGTTTTGCAACTATTCCATTGTCCCGTTGCAAGGAAAATGGCATTGCATAATGGAGTGATATCTTTATTTAATCATTTATCGCTTATTTGTTCTTTAAAGACCTACTACCCAGACATTTCAAAACCATTAAATTTCTCCACATTTTCGTCCATCTACACAGATTTTTCTGTGCAATTCTACTTACAAACCCACTATTCCCCAATCAAGTGTTAAAGTCGGCGCTTTGTTGATACTAATTAATCCAATCCAAGAGTTGTCTGTTTCTCAAAATTAGTTGCATAACCTTGACTTCTGTTAATTAGTATTTTTTCCAGGTTTTTGCAGCTTAATACATTTGTGTCTTTTGCAAGGTTGAATGAAACATTTGGATTTTTAGCAGTATCCCACAGTTTCATTTGTTAGACCAAACAATAACCCCCGAAACTGACACCCCCACCCCCACATCCCCACCCAAAGGCTGATACTCCAGGTTAATCAACAAGCGACATTGATTCTTTAATCAGTTTTTTCAGCTCTGCTATATAGTTGAACAGATGATTCGTAATGATCAATCAACAACTGACACTAACACAATGTTCCACTCCAAATGTACTTACCAATAAGCGAATTTATTTCAACATCTTGCACTCTGAACCACTGCACAGAGAGCAAGAACCAAACTGGAGTCCTACTTCTTGAATGCACATACTTGGCCATTAGGTTTTTATTTCCAATTTACAGCATTTTAAAATAACATTTTATCATTCTAATATTGTTTCAGTTTTATTGACACAAAGTTTTTCAGATGTGACTTCTTAAGACAACTGCGCATGCGTGTCCAGGTGAAAAAAGGTATATAGCAGGGGTTTAAGCGCAGGTTTTTATTTCAGTGTGGAGGTATCCTACTGGAGGAGGTAGAGTAGCAACAATGGTACTGCCTAAGAGCAACGAGCTGGTACCACGGAGCGAGAATCGTGTGGGGCTGTTATTGAGCGTATCGTCCAATTATAGCGTCTTGACAGCAGAAACCATGAACTGGGAGTTGTTGCAGAAAAAATACGGTTATATTTTAAGGCGGTTCCTGGAGCGTTATGTACTACCAAAGCAAGGCAACGGAAAAGGGAGGAGGTATGAAGACCGGTTTGGATTTAGAAGAGGTAAGGATGCCCAGATTTTATATCTTGCCTTGGGTTTCTCTTCTTTATTTTTATTTTGTGACCATGTTTCTACAAGTCCCAACTAAATCTTCAAAGGAAAAACAAAAACATTCAAATTTAAATCTTAAACTCGAACAGCAACCTGTTTGGGGGTCTTAACCCCTTCTCAAAAAATAAGATTTCTTATGATATAATCCAAGTAAATAACAAAAACACAAACTGATGAAAAGCTGCTACCTTTTATTCTGCTTTATTCAGATAAAATAAAGCAGGGCATGTGCACCTTGCTTGGAAAGTATCACTTAAAAAGCTTCTCAGTTTGAAAAAACAAAACAAAAAAACTTACACAAGATTTGCTTTAAATGTTTTGATGTCTCACAGCACAATTAAGCATTAAGAAACTTTGATCTTTTTTATTTGGTGTAACAAATATTTAGTATATACTCTGCTTACAGACAGAAACTTTATTAATCCCACACTGGAGACGTTCAGGCGTCGAATGAATGAGAAAATGAATTGAAGATATAATAGAAAAATGAATGAATACAAGGGTAATTTGTATAGTGTAAAAATGCTATACTTATTGATGCTATATTGTTTAAGCTGTATTTAATTTTAACTCACAAACAAAGAAATTTTGAGTATAACTAGTAAAAACAACTGCTTGCATCTCTGCGGTAGCCTACGGTGTATTTTGCCACTTGTAACCGACGCATGCGCATATCTAAACCGTCGGCAGCATCGGCAGCGGCGGTAGCTCAGTTCAGGTCAGCCCAGTCAGCAGTCGTCCACGCGTCTATCTATACTCCCGTTTCTTAAATTTAGCCACTTTCAAGCTTCGAGATACCGCCCCCAATTTCAGCGTCGGTACGGAGCCGCCAGGCCGGGACAGAGACGGAGAGAGAGGCCTCGGCCATGGAAGCGCTCGGACCCGGTAAGGATTTTTAAGAAAGCGAGAGCGGAGCGAGGAGCTGTGAGCGCGAGCCGTGTGTGGGGCGCGTGTGCGCAAATGCGTCGCTTCACTGGGGGCCGTGGCTGCAGCGAGGCCTCGCTGTGACGGGAAAACAAGCCGAGGCCCAAGCCCGTGTTTGTGTACGTACTCGTAGTACGTTAATTACATCGAACCAAGGGGGGCTCCTCTTCCTGTTAGTACCGGAGGGGGTTGTTTTTATCCACTCTCCCGCCGTGTCCGAGGGTTATATTTATGTCAGGCACGCTCTACTCGTCGTGTCGGGGCTGGCATTGTGTGAGTGGGGATTTAACTGGGACCTTCCTTCCTTCCGCGTCGTGCTATGTTTACGTTGTTTGGTTTCGCTGTGTTTATTCGGCGTTTCACGCCTTTACGACCCGATTGTTTCAAGGGGACTGCGCGTTTGCGTCGAAATACGGCGGAATGTAACGTGTTTTTGCAAAATCCCCCTCTCAGTTAAATCATATAAATCTGCCTGCATCGCCATCAGGAGCAGGCAAGCTCGTCTCTTACACCCCCCTCCCCGCCCGTCCAAGATGACAGCGATGGTTTGGGAAGACAAAATGAATGCCAACAAAACATGTTTACTCTGCAGATGTGGTGATTTTGTGGGGTTTTTTAATGTGAGGTGGTCATCGGTTTGCGCGCCTCTCCTTGGGCAGCAGCCATGCGCCCGTGAGAGCACAGCAGGAATGGATGGCGCTCTTATCGATCAGATCTGCAGGCCAGCTCCATTATAGTCTCCTATATGATAACAAAGGCACGTATTTTGATGCAATAAAGGCATGCAGTGGGAAGTCAAATCATGCACCTGTGCGGTCATCAGTCCAATATGCAGTGTTATTGTCACAAAGCTGCAAAATATGTTTAGGTCATATTCCCCCCCACCCCACTGGAGACATTGTGTTCTTTTTTTTGTGTGTGGGAAACGCGCCTTTTCATAAACGAAGCATCTTTCAACAGAAAAGTCTTCATGCGACAGCATTGACATGGTTTATTATTATTATTTATTTATTGACTTTCTAAATGACCACACATTTCCCCGCAAGAATCAGAAGAAAGGTAGTGGCATTAGGAAGCACTAGATGTGTTATTTAAACAGGAAATGTGCTCCTGCAGAAAATGTTAAATGGATGCAAGAAGCTGTGAGGGTCCAGGCTTATTGGGGACAATGCATCCTATCTATCCTTCAGGGGTGTGTTTGGATCATTGCTGCACATAATGAAATGAAATAATGACTCCCAAGTAATCAGCATTTATTATTATACATTAGTGATTGCTTATTGTGCCTGCTGTGTGTACTTTGCTACAGCAAGTGTTTAGGTTGTGGAGTTTGAATTGAGATTTTCTATCAAAGCCTTTGTTTACACGTTCATAGATGCAGACGTAACAATGAGATTTTTTGTGATGAATATAAATATGATCTGTGAACACTGCTCTAGAATTTCTCTTTTTGGCATGTTTGTAAAGCTTTGCTGCCCTTTTCAAAGGCAGTGCTTAATCTTTATTAATATTGAATTATTAATAATAATATAATATTAATATAATGCAAACTGGCCACGGTGCAGGTGTGAAGTAAATCTGAATGTATTAGAAATAAGTTTGACTCTTTTTCAAAATTTCTATACATGCTTAATATCTAATCGCATTCTTTTCTTTATGACCAAAATAAACGCAAAGCTTTAATATTGTGACGGCCTTAGTTGCAGTTTTTAACTCTTCTAAATTACAGTTACAGTAATGTCTTGTAGCCCAGTCTGTGTGTCTGCTGTCTCCCGTTTAGTCGTGCTTCAACAATACTCTTGTTCAGTGGTGGGGATGTCTTCAAACACAGGAAAGATGTAAAGCAGACGGTCAACTGTCTGTTCTTAGAGGTGTGAAATGCAGCAGTGAGTGGCCTATTCAGTGACAGAATTCTGAATTGGGTTGTTGTTGTCTCGAAATTGTGGTGGAGTCACACAACATGAGTATGCAGAGATGAGTGAAAAGACAAAAGCCTGGAGGACACTGAGTGAAACTGAGAGGAAGTGTAGAAGTATAAGATCCCATTTGGAAAATGCATTAATTCGTAATGGTAAACATGGTCAGTAAGACATCCTGTGTTACATTTAAAATCATCTAAGTCAGCTCGCCTGATTCTTCTGCACATCTCTACACTGATGTGTGGATATTTCTACATTGTGAATGGTCACTAAGCCTTTCTTAATGTATCTCCTCTTTCTCCTGTTCGGTGTAGTACCTTAATCCGGGTGATTTTCAGGTGTGGGCGTCAGTGTACTCCCTGTTCGGTGCTCTTAGTCTCTGACTCATCGCAGGGCCAAGCCATCATCCTCGTGCTTAGCTTTAAGCCCAGCTGTCTATGCTCCACTGTGGTTACCAGGGACATGCATAGCATTAGTAGGCTCTACAGTGCATTAGTAGGAAACCCTACTCAGAAAGTGTGAGTACACTGCACACGATCTAATGGTTTGTCTAAATTAGATCAGTGAAGAGTTGGGGGTGGGGTGTTACAGTAAGATAGGGAGGCCGAAATGTTTATGGTCAGTTTGGATTTAAGTTTTGAAAAGGAAGGCTTGTTTGCCTTTAGTGCATCTGTCATTTTGTGTGTAAGGGGGGAAAGTTAATTTCACTTCCTCTGTGACTCAAAGTAGATGCAACTCTGTCTCATTTGGAGCAGAAGCACAAATTATGGAGGAAGCTCGCTGTAAATGTGAGAGCTGCTATTTATATGGTATTCAGCACTGTTTAAGTACTTCATTAATGTTCTGGTTGAAAAAATGAATTAAAAGACCTGTGCAGATTGTCACTGCTGTCTTGTGTTAGTGCAGCTGACAGGTTTGCTAAAATATGTAGGCTCTGTATTAAATATTGGGTTGTTTTTTTGTTTTTTTTTTATTGAAACTGTGCCTCGTAGCTCCATAGTGTAGTGGTTTACATATTTGCCAGACAAGAGAGAGATATCCCAGGAGGAAAGACGGATCCCGTCGGGGTTGTGTCAGGATGGGCGTCTGGTGTAAAAACTGCCAAATCAAACATTTGGAGCTGCCCACTGTGGCGACCCCTTGTGCAGTTGAAAGTGCTGTTACTGAGAATGAGCTTGTGACATTCACAAAATACAAGACCATGTTTACTTAGAAGTTCTTTAAAGTGAAATGTGTTATCCACATGTGTGGCTTAAGTTTTGTATAATGTTCAGTCGCCTGGATTGTCATCCAATACTTGTTTTTTTTTTTTTTTTTGTTTTTTTTGTTTTTTTTGTTTGCCTGTCCCGCTTGGTTCCTTTGCCATCAGAATTATTGTCTAAAGGCAAAGAAACATGCCCAACGGATTTACTTTAGGATTGTCATCCAATACTAACTTAATTATTTACGTTTAAATTTAAAAGTAGATCTATATTTTTCTTGCCTGTGGCAGCAAAGCCAGCAGTTACACTCAGATTTGCTATAAGTTGTTAGTTATTGGATTAGAAGTACTTGGAAAATAGCTGCGCTTTAGACAGTTGGTCAGACAAAACTATCAGTTTCTATCTCGTGCTGGGTGCTTTTCATATTTTACAATTTTAAAGTTCATGTTGGGTCAAGTTGGGGGGGGGTGTTAGTGGAGAGAAGAGTGGTTGTGGAGGAAGGATGACTTTAGACATTTCACATTGAGACACATTTCTAAGTGTAGTAATGTAGCAGCTGAGGAGGCTAAATATAGGCACAGCTCTGTTTTTGGTGGAAGAGGAAGCCCTCAAAGTTGCTGTGCATCATGTCTATACTAAAAACACTTTCTGCTACTTTCACACAGTGGGCTGAAAACAAAAGAAATCTGTGTGCAAAGGTATCTGCGCATATGCACAAAGGTAGACGAAATAGAAGTTGTTTTTGCAGTTGACTGCAGGTCGTCTGTTAGCTGCATAGACACAAAGTGGATTATTTATGCAGATGGCTGAATGCTGAAATTTAGTCCATGCTAAGCCTGCACTAAAATAATTTGGCAAATGGGCCCATTTTCTATTGCTGTGTTTGTTATAATGTGTCATTATTACTTGTTGCATTAAAAGAATTATTGTACATGCCTTACAATGTCTTTGGGTTGGCTGTAGCTTAGGTGTTAGAGCAGGTCATCTGCTAATTGGAAGGTTGTTGGTTCGATCCCTCCAGTCTGCATGCCAAATGTCCTTGGGCAAAATGCTAACCCAAGTTGCTCTCCAATGTGTCCATCGGACAGTGAATGTGTGTGATTGTTAGATAGCGTTTATATGGAGCATAGAGTTTTTGGGTTAGTCAGAGTAGAAAAGTGCTATATAAGATTCACCAAATCCATTTTTACTTCTGCCAAGTCATTCATATTTTTCTGTTTTAAATTACAAAAGTTGTACTTTATTACATTGGTTTGACTTTAGAATATATGCATCAACAAATCTGAAAAGCTGGAGCTGCCAAATGATAGTATAAGGCAGCAATGAATAAAAGTACCTCAATGAGGACTATTCCTTCCCTAGTAAAACACAGCTGCATCAAAGGTGTTGGTTTTGCAGAACTGAAGGATCAAGTGTGACAAAATCCCACGTTGGAGACAAAATGTTACATAAGCAAATTATCCTGCCTGTAAGTTGTGACATACACCAACACAAATGATGAGTACAACATATGCAGAGACGTGTAGCTTCAAGCATAATGTGGAACATTTGGTATGCCTTTTGTTGCTATCTGTAACAAGGCCAGTAGGACAAATTTAAATGACTCATCAGAGTATTTCCAGATCGTGGCAGAGAAAAGCAGACGTGCAACAAATGGCTTCTTACTTGAGCACGTATCGTCAAACATAATGTTTCATAAGAACTAATGGCTTGTTCATGTGATGGAGGAGGAGTGGGTAGAATAGAGGAGGGAGGAGGAGGGTGATCTGGGGTGCGCAGGCTAGATGAGGGCATGTTGGGAAGCGTGTTTTTAGGAAGCGATGGGGAGGGTCTCAGTTGTCTGTGCTCTCACGCTTCAGTTGTTAACTGGAGCGTGTGGGTGCACGGAGTTTAGGAGGACCCCCGCAGTCCCTTAGCTGGCAGTTGACAAAAGCATTAGGCAACATTTGGTGCTACCAGCACTTATTATATTTACACATAAGTATATATATATTTCCTTTTAAGTGCTTAAATTTTGTGCATGCTTTAGTTTGGCTAAAGCATTCAAAAGATTTTTTCCCCTCCTGTAGAGAGTTGTATTAGGATATTTGATTTTTAAGCCTTTTAGGCGCTCTTGTGCCAAGTAATGCTTGGCTAGCCATATCAGCTGATGATTTTGACAGAATAAGCACCACATTCCCTCCTTCCTCCCGTGTTGATGCAAATCAGTAGTGTTGATATTTGAGAGATGAATCATTATTGGGTTCACTGTAACAGGAAGCTTGAGGTCTTGTGCACGTATATGTGCATATATTGTGTTCCTCGGTACTTGCGGCTTTTATGATTAAAATTGAGGCTCATGTACTAGCGTAAATTGTGTATATGTACGTTTCTGTATGTATGGGAGTTGGATGCGGACTGTAACGGTAATCCCAGACTGTCCGCATGGCACCCCTCCATATGGTCCCACTGCTGTTTGTCTGAGAAGAGCGCTGTCTTTGTCTCGGCGTAAAGGGTGGGCACCCTGTGTGTCTGGGTGGAGCAGTGGGCGGGTTGAAGGATAATTGGAGGTCATTGTTTCGCCAGCCCCTTGTTGACCCATGTAGGTCAGGGGCCAGAGTTACGGATCAATCAAAGCATGCATGTGCCCTTCAGGGTTCGAGACCATTTTAGTGCATTCAAGCAGGTGTCACTAATGAGAGTTTCCAATGAGCTTGGCGTTGCACAGTGCACATTCATCCATCAGACATGACATTTAATGGCAAGCTAAACAAGCTGTCACCACCTTTATAAACAGTTAAATGCCAAATGTGCTTTATGCGAAGTTTAAAATGAGACTTGTCTCAAATGTGGACATTAGGGAATCAATTTATTGTTATTGTGTTGCAAATTATTACTCTTTTCCTTTCAGGCCCGCCCGCCCCTACCTCTCTGTTTCAGCCTCCACGGCGTCCCGGCCTTGGCACGGTGGGGAAACCCATCCGGCTCCTTGCCAACCACTTCCAGGTGCAGATTCCCAAGATTGATGTCTATCACTATGATATTGAGATCAAGCCTGAGAAACGACCACGAAGGGTTAACAGGTAAAGATTCATGAAGATACTGATCGTTTTGATCTGTTGCTTTTGCAACCAGACTGCCTAAATGTCTCTGAATGTTGATTATGTGCCCTGACTATCCTGTTGGACCTCGCTTCTGTAGGGAGGTGGTGGATACCATGGTCCGGCATTTCAAGATGCAGATTTTTGGTGACCGACAGCCTGGCTATGATGGGAAGAGGAACATGTACACAGCACATCCACTGCCAATAGGGAGGGACAGGGTTGGTATTTCAGGCACATAAACTGTCAGCTCTAATGCACCATAAAGGGATACGTTTTGTATTTAATGGCATACCTCAGTGATTGTAGATCATATTTTAAGAAGGAAATGGCAGGCGTATTAAATGGGTTACTGGCTCAGCTTAAGGAGGCAGACTACATAATTGAGTGAAAGGTTTCCAACTGGATTTCTAGGAAAGTCTGGAACAGGAATGCGATCTGTGCTGGTCTGAGGGGTCTTTTAGATAGGACCTCTAATAGAAAATGCAGTATGCAGGCATTCATATTTCATCGACTATGTAATTTAAGCTGACAAAAAAGCCTGATGATGAAAATTTATGTTTAAAGGAAACAATAAATTTCACTCCAATAATTTAATCTGTTTGTATCTGGCCAGTATATGTGGAAATGAGATCTCAGTAATACAAAGTGGGTTACTAATATCTGCATGACCAGTTAAAAAAGTGTTTTGGTGCCATTTTTATGACTTACTGACATTTCATTTGCTTTATTTTGGTAACTTAAAGTCCTTTCCTTCAGTTTTTGTCTGGTTTATACCCCTTGATTCTTCATTGGTGACTCTAGCTCATCTATTTGTAATCCAAAAAATGATTACATTCTTTGTTTTGCATTTCTGGGTTTTTTGATCACCCCTTGTCACACATTCTACAACCAATGTCCCTTCGCTGAGCTTTTGTTTTCATCATTCTTGGCCCTCTTCTGCCCTCAGGTGGATCTGGAGGTCACCCTACCTGGTGAGGGGAAAGATCAGACGTTCAAGGTGTCCTTGCAGTGGGTTTCTGTGGTGAGTCTTCAGATGCTGCTGGAAGCCCTGTCGGGTCACCTTAACGAGGTGCCAGAGGACTCCGTTCAGGCTCTGGATGTCATCACAAGGCATCTGCCTTCCATGAGGTACGGCTTTTCACCCATGACTTACAAACGCATCACCAGCTTATTCACGTCTTTTCTGCAGTGTTGTTGATGTAATCTAATGTCAGAATAATGGCTTAAATTTTCCCTGAAAGCTGTTATAACTTAGTAATGTAAACACAGATGTATTTAGAAGAGAAGGACTTAAACATATCAAGAATTCATTGTACTACGAATATCCAGATCAATAGAGCAGTTATTAGCATGCTCATATGCCCACTTTTGCCTTTCAGACTAATGCGTTTGGATTTTTTTTTTATTGCATGTTTTAAAAATATACCTTAATGGTTAAGTGAACATCTGGTTTGTTAATAAATACAAAAATTAGATAATATAAAACCTAAAATTTGTTTTTCGGTTACACACAGGTACACTCCAGTGGGGCGATCGTTTTTCTCTCCTCCGGAGGGTTACTACCATCCTCTTGGTGGAGGCAGGGAGGTGTGGTTTGGTTTCCATCAGTCTGTCCGTCCTGCCATGTGGAACATGATGCTCAACATCGATGGTACAAACAGATTTTTCTGCAGCTATGATTTGAAATTTTATTGATTTGAAAACATCCAAAATGAGATTTTTCTGTGATGTAAGGATGCTCACTGGCCACCCAGTTAACTGCCAATTGAAGCAAATATCTAACTGGCCAATCTTGACAGCATATCACTGCAGTTAGGCATGTACACATGGTCAAGAGTACCTCTTGAAGTTCAGTGTCTGAATGGAGAAAAGTGACAAGCATGAGTGAACGTGGCATGGTTATTGGTGCCTGACGGGTTGATCTGAGTATTTCTGAAACTGCTCATCTACTGTGATGTTCCCACACAACCATCTCTAGTTTTACAGCAAATGGTCTGAAAGAGAAAATATCCAGCGAATGGCAGTTCTCTGGGTGAAAATGTCTTGTTGATACCAGAGGTAAAAGGAAAATTGCCAGACTACTTTGAGCTGAGGAAGGCAACAGTAACTCAAATAACCACTTGTTATCAAACAAGAGCAGGAAGTGCACTTCAAAGTTTGAAGCTGATGGGCTACAGGAGCCAAAAAAACCCACACCGTGCCACTCTTGTCAGCTGAGAGCAGGAAACTGAGGTTGCAGTTCACACAGGTTTGCTGAAGCTGTACAAAAGATTGGAAAAATGTTGCTTTGATCAATCAATCTTAATTTCTGCCGTGACAGTTGAATGAGAGTTCGAATCTTGCATTAAACTGATTTCTTGAACATGACAATGAGTTGACTGTACTCAAATGGCCTCAGTTAGTGGGTCTCAGTCCAATCCCCAATAGAAAGATGTGATGCAGTGACAAATTGCAACTGTGCAATGCTATCATGTCACTATGGATGAAAATGCTGCAGGAATATTTCCAGCACCTTGTTGAATCTTTGCCACCAAGAATTAACAGTTCTGAATTAAAAACGGGGTCCACCACAGTACTAGCAAGATGTGCCTAATGAAATAAGAAAGTGCTTACAACTAGAATACTTTCTTTAATATTTCGTACAGTGTCATGACTCCCATTAGACTAGAAACACTGACTTTCTTTAGTAAAAACTTGTAAAGAAATGATTGGGCGGAAACAGTCGTAAGTATTACAATGCAATTCATATGACGTTTCAGTATGTTAGCAAAGCATCATAATATATTGCTTTATAAGATGCATTACAAATCATGTTGTGTTTATAATATGAATCTGAAAAGGTAAATAAAGGTAGATAATTAAGGGTAAAAGTGAAAGGTGCCCTAAACACAAGTATCTCCATTGAACTTTTGCACCTGTAAAGTACAGCTCAAGGTATTGGTTCACAGAAGCACACAAGGCTGTTATGTGTTTGGTCTTTAAATAGCGAAGTTGACAAAGAAATTTCTGTCGGGTCCGGATTTTTAATTGGTTCGTTCATCTTTGCTTTTCTGTATTGACTGCTATTCATTTTTCCTCAGTTACTGATTTATAAAACCAGTTGAATAACTTTCTTTTTTCCTTAACAGTCTCAGCTACTGCTTTCTACCGTGCTCAGCCTGTGATCGAGTTCATGTGCGAGGTGCTTGATATACAAAACATCAATGAACAGACCAAACCACTGACTGACTCACAACGTGTCAAGTTCACCAAGGAAATAAGAGGTGAGCACTCACAACCACCAACTGAATTAAGAGCTTAGAATCTGCCAGACCGGGGAGGTCAGTGACACACATTATCACGTTATGAATGACTTTAGACTCTTTAACTCTTCCGCACTCCATAAAAAGTTACAAAGAAATCCACTCTGGTAACTGGGTCATGCAGTCCTGCTATATCTAAATCAACTGGCGGAAATCAAAGTACTTTCTCTTTAAGCAAAAATACAGAAACATTTCTTTGACCAGTTTTGATCTTTCTTTAGCCTCACATGTTGTAACTGGTAGTTGCACAACAAAGAACAGAAGCTGCTGACATGTTTTTGTTGAAATTCAGAACCAGATAGTTAAACTTGAAATTAAACTTTTTTTTTTTTGTTCTTCACTTCTCTAGCCTCTGTGGGGCTTGTATAAGCACACTTTTCTGTCTAAAGAAAAGGCATAGCTAGCTGGAGTGTCAGCATTGATATTATGGCCTCAAAAAACCAGACTGCTAAACCTGCTAAAGGCAAACACAGTAATGTGTTTTACATTTTATTTTATTTTTTTTATCCAGACATTGCAATTATTCTTGGTGTGTTGTTAAACAGGTTTGAAAGTTGAGGTCACACACTGTGGTCAGATGAAGAGGAAGTATCGAGTTTGCAATGTCACGCGCCGACCTGCCAGCCATCAGACGTAAGTAGCAATCCTGCACTCATCAGCAAAGGCACTGTAGTAAAGTGTACCAAAGTCATATAAGTGTTGTAAATGTAGAATTAAACTAGGCAAACATTTTCTTATTTATTCATACTCACGGAGACTTCAATGTGGCTTGCACACATTTTCCATTTATGCACAGGTTCCCCTTACAGCTTGAGAACGGCCAGGCCATGGAGTGCACAGTAGCTCAGTATTTCAAGCAGAAGTACAATCTACAGCTCAAGTATCCACACTTACCCTGTTTGCAAGTAGGACAGGAACAGAAGCACACCTACCTTCCCCTAGAGGTGAGAAACCCCCCCCTTTTTTTTTTTTTTTTTTTTTTTTGTTTGGGGGGGGGGGGAGATGGAAAATGTTCTCACGCAGTATACCTATAATAATAATAATAATAATAATAATAATAATAATAATAATAATAATAATAATGGATACTTTATTGATCCCCATGGGGAAATTACTTGTTTTTCTCTGCATTTGACCCATTCACTCAGTGAAGCAGTGGGCAGCCCACTAAGCAGGCGCCCGGGGAGCAGTGTGTAGGGACGGTACCTTGCTCAGGGGTACCTCAGGGTAGCCGTTAAGTGGATTTGAACCGCCGACCTTCCGATCATGGGGCGACCACTTTACCTACTGAGCTATCCCTGCCCCATAATAATAATAAAATTAATAAAAAGTTGTGACATTTTTTCCTTTTCAGATTGCCCACTGCTGCTCCTCTTATCTGATTTTTGTTTAATTAATGAAATGCCCATTCCTCCTCCTGCAGGTCTGTAACATAGTAGCAGGCCAGCGCTGTATCAAGAAACTGACCGACAACCAGACATCAACCATGATTAAAGCTACAGCTCGTTCAGCCCCCGACAGACAGGAAGAGATCAGCAGATTGGTGAGAGTTGGTTCCCTGTTTGAGGAGGCATTGGGGGCTGGATCATCATGCTGTATTTTTAATTGTTTGCTTAGTTATAGCAACTGCTTCAAACCCAACCATTTCTAAAGGAAAATTAGAAATTTGAGTGTCTGACTTGAGTGCATTGTCCCTTTTAAATAAATAAACACAGTTGTCATTGTCAGTATACTAGATTTATCTGTACATTTTCAAATGCCAGTCCCTGGCAGGTTGATTGTATTGTGATTCCTGTGAACTGGTCTTCCTTTCTCTTTCTCAGGTCAAAAGTAACAGCATGGTCGGGGGCCCCGACCCTTACCTGAAGGAATTTGGCATTGTTGTGCATAATGACATGACAGAGGTGACAGGGCGTGTCCTCCCAGCGCCCATGCTACAGTATGGGGGCCGGGTGAGTACAGACACAGGGAGGGACTGTGGCAGGGTGAGTACTGGGCAGGGGACTGCATTCTCAGGGCGCAAGCCCGTTGGGAATGCACAGGGTGGGCGTGGGACGGGGCTTCAGAGTGAATGCTGTGACATGGGGATGTTCCAGGTTTGCAGAGGTTTTACAGCTAAGGATTGAGATGCTTATAATCTTGTAAATACAGTTAAATTAAAATATCCAAAGTGATTAATGACTTGAGTACATGCTGAATAGTATACCCATTACATATACATTAAACTGGAAGTATAGGTGATACAGTAGTCGGCTTTAACATATGCACACTTGTAAGACCTGGACCTTTCCCATGTTATAATCCTGTGGTGCATCTCAGATGTCTATTAAGTGTCTCCTTTTGCATATTCTTCCCCTCATTAAGACAGCTTCAGGATGTAAAGATCTAAATGATATTGCATTGACTGCTTTTTGTAAGTGGAAGAAATGAGATGAGGAGCCTGTGGACCACTGAGATATGCCCACTGAATTTCAAATCAGCCATTTGAGGATCTAAAGTTGAGAAGCCTAAAGTCAGTTTTTAGTGTCACGAAGGTGGCTCTTTTGACCTGGCTAGAAGCATTTAGTTTTGGTTTTAAATCTTCATTTTGTCATCTTTTTGCTGTATCCTGTAACTGATTGTTTCCTGGAGGAACACAGTGTATATAAGCAACTGAAGCAGAATTTATGGTTCAGCAGGGAGAGCGTGTTCACAGACAGCGGGCGGTCTGGGGATGGCCCATCTGCCTGCAGAGGGCTCTGTGTATGGAAGCAGTGTACAAAGTATGTGGTACAGCCGGTCTGCGGGCCACTCTTGCTTGTGCTGTTGTTGGTCCGTCAGCCAGTAGTGGAGAAGAGCGAAGTTACAACATACAAACTGCTAAAGTGAAACGGAGTGTTAAACATGAAGTTTCCACTGCAGCCACTGTCGGTACTCTTCATGCTTTGTCTTTAATTAAAAAAAGTACAGCATGAATATAGAGCAAAATGTTGTTGTTTTGCGGTTTTTCCCAGTGAACTCCGCTGTCGCTCACTTCTCTATTCCGGCTCACTTGTCAAGCAGTCGGCATTGGCAGTGGCATACAGCATCTGCTTCCAGCGACGTGCAGTTGAATTTTGGAGAACTGCATGGGAGCCCATCTGCAGTGAGTGAAAGCCCCTCTCCCCCGCTGTACGAGTGGTAACGTCTACACAGACGGACATATTTGCTCGACCATAAATTATGCTTTAAGTTGTGCCTTAACCAACACCACTGAATGAATCTGTTCCATTAGCTGCTATTGGAGTAGTTAAAATAATCAGCCACATTTGTAGGCTGTTAATCACAGAACATTCAGCTGTTTCAATTTCACTTTGATTTCACAAATCAAAGTGATTTTTCCACATCTGTTTTTTGTTCTTTTGTTCTTTTTTTTTTTTTTAAAGGTTAAGACAGTCAAATGTGGCTGTTTAGATGTATGCATGTTAAAGTTTCTGAACTCTAATGTGCAGCTGCCTTTTTAGAAGTAAATGGCTGCAGTAACAATGCACTGAGTGGTTAAAATAATCAACTTGAGGTTATACATTTTAGCACTCTGTGCACTTGTGGTGATCACATCACAAGGTTAGCAGTTTTCTCCCACATTACTGTCATGTGTAGCAAGTGTGTCATTTCACTTATTTCTTTTGTTCTTTATAGATTTCAGACAGTGCTTCAGCTGATCCACTTTGTGCAGAGGAAGAGTCAAATGACCCATCAAACGACCCCTTTTATGTGAGGCGCAAAAACCCTGAGTTAACAAAGTTGATACCCACCGTCGGGATATTTGTTATCTCTGACTGGTGTTTTAGGTTGTGTCAAGTCAGCTAATGCAATGAAAGCCTGGATATGTTCAATTTGTTTACCGCTCTGTTAGGATCTGTGATGCTAGATGGCATCATTTGCATCTACCTAGCTAAAATAAGGAATTTAATAAATAGCCATATAGCAATAAGTTATTCGCCTTCAATATCTTGACTATTGCCTGGGAAGGCATGTGAGGCTGAATTGGGATTCAAGGATTGTGTGTAAAGGTGGGGGGGTAATGGAAATGCTGCCAACCGGAAGACGATAAGACTCTTATCCATGCAGGAATAAAGTAAAATTAGTCTTCACTTCCACTGTTTGTGCCTGTGGAGTGAATGTGAATCTATTTTTCATATGAAAATTAGAAGGTTAATATAAATACTACAGGGGCTGGATTAAAACTCGCCACTCACTGGCAGTGTGCAATGATTCTGCTAAGATAAGATTAAATTTTAATCATCCCTGTGGGGAAATATTGGCTCAGTCTTTGGCCAGCTTTCTCGTAGAGTTCTCTGGCGCCTTTTTTAAACTTTTTATAAAAAAAAAAAAGGAGGCATATTCTCATTTGGGAGGGGGGGAGTACCTGTGCCAAGCTTAAATCCACTTCTGACTGCCTCAACTATACATTGCGTCATAAACCCAAGATCCTGAAAGAACACTGAATGATTTGGCCATTTGCCTGCTGGGATATTGAGTCTAATCAGCTTCTAGCATAAGTGCCCTTAATGCATACAGAAAGCTTTTTTCCAATTTCTGTGATCACTTTGTATGAATGAAATGCGCACATTTCATTCTATTCAATGTGATATAATCGTGCCGCCTTTTTTCTGTGTAATATGCGCTGAAGTTTTTATTAGTCTGAACAACCTGTAAATATGTATTTTTATCTTCTTCTTTTTTTCTTTTTTTTTTTTTTTAAATACATTTTTCAGGTTGTGTTGAAAAGAGATGGAGAACCACTAAAGTTTTGGCATTCGACTGAAGTTCCATGTGGCCACTCAGTTTGAAGAACAAAGCTCCTAATGGCCTTTGGCAAATCTTATTAACTTAATTGAAAGCTTCCCTTTGAATTTCCAGTCGCAACCCAACTGAAACTGGAAGTGCTCGGTGTCTCTTTAAGTGGATGCAATACTCATTATACTCATATTACTCATTAGGACCCCTGACATGAAGCAATATAAGAAAACCGGTTATTTCTTGGCAATTTAAAAAGAATCAAAAGTTCTGATTTTATTTTTTTTTTTAAATCTATTTATATTTTTTTGCGCGCAATACGTTTACATGACTGACCAAATTGGCACTAGCCTTTGAGGGACCAAGTCATTATTTTTGGCAGCAGGGTAACAATCTACCTCGGAAACACCCCCCACACCACAACTATGGACTCACCCAGCCCTGGTGACTTCAAGGCAAACCTAGATACTGCTAGCTTTAATTGGTGAATCAACTTGTTGAACTTGTACTCAGAATTGGCAGCAAACCAACTGATGTTGTTACAGTTGTAGCCACATTAAGTTAAACTCATTAAATTTGTCAGTAATTTGCATGTCACAGCTCAACAGCATGATATCTTTAGAAATGGTTAACTAGTCTGTACTACAGTGTCTCAACATTTGCCTTTAACACATTGAGCTTTAGCATAAAAGAAGGAAGATATTTAACTATGTATCTGTACTTGACCACTGTTTCAACAGCCCCATCATCTGTCAGAGGCAGCAAGGATGGACCCAGACCAATTTGGATGGGCTTCCTGCTCCTAAACTGACAGTTTCCCAGATTTTAGCTAAAAGTGAACCATTACAGAGTGAATATGTTGCAAATAATGACTTTCTGTCTGTTTCAAATTCATTTAGGATAAAATGCAAGCAGCTGTGGCAGACTTACTAAATGTAGAGGTAAAGCGTATCCCACCACACCCACTGCCCCAAACACTTGGTTGAAGAGTAGGTATACTTCAGTCGGCCAGGACTTTGTTCGGTTGACTGCAGCCTTCAAAACTGAGACTTTTTTTTTCTTACACAAGTCTGGTGATGCCAAAATAAATGTCATGTGTTAACACTCCCCCCCTCCCCCCCCCCCCCTCCCTCCCTCTATAAGCAATGGTAAAACTGGTATTGAGGTATCAAACATTTAAGCCTTTTAACACTTGTACAGTGTTCCTAGCCAATGTACAGTGTTTACAGGCATGTTCAGCTGTGTGTTAACCCTCTGAGGTCAAAGGATGTGGATAAAGAAAATTAAGGGAACACTTTGAAAATCTTATATTTGATCTATCTAAGCCCTTAAAGGGAATAAATTATATTTTTCACTGACTGTTACATCCTCATGTTCTCAACAACTTACACAGTGAAAGATTTTGGCTCCGAAATGTCATTTGAGTGCCAATGTGTAATTTTGAAGTGTTCCCTTATTTTTTTGAGTGGTCAGTGTGCATATAACTCTAACCCTATCTCATTTTTACATTTTTGGATTAAAAAAAATGTTTTCACATGTTTTGGCAACCAGTGGACAAAATTCTCATACACACAAACTTTTTTTACACATTTTTACAAAACAAAGTCCTATTTTTTTATTTTTTTATTTAATTTATTTATTTATTTATTTCCCCTCTTCAACATAGGGTTAGTGTTAACCTTAAGGATGATTGGACTTCAGAGGGTTAATGCTTTGTTTGCTTGTAATTGTTGCAGCTTTTGTATTGGCTCATCCAACTGCAGGGTTGACTAAGAGTGTAGGGGCTCTCTCCGCAGAATAAAACAGTGGCGACGCCCAATCAGGGCGTGTGGGACATGAGGGGCAAGCAGTTCTACGCTGGCATAGAGATCAAGGTCTGGGCTGTGGCCTGCTTCGCTCCACAAAAACAATGTCGTGAGGACCTGCTCAAGTAAGCTTTTAACAGCTGTTAGTGCAACATTTTAAAGAAATATCTAACATTTACGCTTATATTAAACACTCAGTGTTACAGTGATATGTCTGGATTTAATTCTGTGCACAAAAATATGAAACTAAGTTCTGTAAATGAGAACTCACTTTTAATACTCCAACTCTTTAGACTAAGCTCAAATCCCCCCCCCCCCCCCCCCCCCCCAACGGCATCATCACTGTTTGGGTGCAGCATGAGAAAACCCAGATTCTGAAGAGTGCAACGATTTTAAAGCCTTGTATGTCTATATGATGTTAACGATCATTGATATAACATGTTGCCATTACTACTAACTCTAAACTACAAATCGAGAATATTTATATGCAAGCGGTTTTTCACAGCAGTAGATGGGAATTGCCCACGACCTTGAATTGGATAAGGGACTGATTTATAATAAACTCTGGGGTTTTAACAGGAGCTTCACTGACCAGCTGCGAAAAATTTCAAAGGATGCTGGGATGCCCATTCAAGGCCAGCCTTGTTTCTGTAAATATGCCCAAGGAGCTGATAGCGTGGAGCCCATGTTTAAACACCTTAAGATGTCTTACGTTGGTCTGCAGCTGATTGTGGTAATCCTTCCTGGCAAAACACCGGTCTACGGTAAGGAACTTTTCTTCATTTTTATTTTCTTCTTTCTTATATGGATTAAACAATATTGTGACTGTAATCTTGGTCATGTTGGTTGTCTTGTGCAGCTGAGGTAAAGCGGGTGGGAGACACCCTCCTCGGTATGGCCACCCAGTGCGTGCAAGTGAAGAACGTGGTGAAGACTTCCCCTCAGACCCTCTCCAACCTCTGCCTCAAGATTAACGCCAAGCTAGGAGGCATCAACAATGTCTTGGTGCCTCATCAGAGGTCAGAAAGAATTCTAATTTGGTCACAGAGATGCAATTTCTTCTCTTGAATGGTGAAGATTGTTTAAATGTTCTCTGGAAAATGAAATCTTCCTTGGTAATCATGTGGGACAGAGACTTTTTTTTTTTTTTTGCAAACATGCGAGGATTATTAATTATACTGGTACAGTATTAGTGCTGTTTATGCAGTATGAAATTAAAAATGAAGCATACTCCAATTTGTTTGTTTTTTTTTTTCAGGCCCTCTGTGTTCCAGCAGCCTGTCATCTTCCTGGGTGCTGATGTCACACATCCTCCAGCGGGTGACGGGAAAAAACCATCCATCGCAGCAGTGGTGGGAAGCATGGATGGCCACCCAAGCCGGTACTGCGCCACGGTGCGAGTCCAGACGTCTCGACAAGACATGTCCCAGGTAACTACAGATGTGCTTGAAACTGACACAGATGGTCTTTATAAAACAGATCTAATGTTTTACCTCAGTATGACCCAGCTCACGTCCATTAAACCAAAGTTTGCTCACTTTTTAATACTTTCCTGTACTAACTCCAGATTTGTTTTGCATCTTCAGGAGCAGCTCTTCAGCCAGGAAGTTATCCAAGACCTTACCAACATGGTCAGAGAACTGCTAATCCAGTTTTACAAGTCGACACGCTTCAAGCCCACACGCATCATCTATTATCGTGGTGGTGTATCAGAGGGACAAATGAAACAGGTAATACTGGCAGCATGTAGAAATTACAAACCATAAAGCTAACAGAATGATATGTAAAATCAAACGCCTTTGAGTTTTGTGTAAATTCATTAAATTATTTTTGGTATTTCAGGTAGCATGGCCCGAGCTGATAGCCATCAGGAAGGCCTGCATCAGTCTGGAGGAGGATTACAGGCCTGGCATTACCTACATTGTGGTCCAGAAACGTCACCATACTCGTCTCTTCTGCTCTGACAAAGCTGAGAGGGTTAGCAGTTTACCCAGATGTGTGCATTTAAGGGATATCTATTGGTCAATCTGTTCCCTAAGTCTGACTTTATTACCCCTTGCAGGTTGGGAAGAGTGGTAACGTTCCAGCTGGCACCACAGTGGACAGCACCATCACACACCCGTCCGAATTTGATTTCTACCTGTGCAGCCATGCTGGGATCCAGGTGAGCTTACATGATAATAAAGGAAAATGAGTGAAATTTGTGTCCAGGTTATTAACTTTTTGCAGTGGAATAGCTTCCAGAGCATTGGGAGGGTGGACAAAGATTAGAGCAACAAACAGATTCCAGGCAAATCTGCGGTTGTGAGTGAGCTGGAATAGAGCAGGAAGTCATTTCATGAAGTTGTAATGCAGTATTGACATTGTTGCATTGCTTTCTCTTTCAGGGAACCAGTCGCCCCTCCCACTACCACGTCTTGTGGGATGACAACTGTTTCACGGCCGATGAACTGCAGCTCCTTACCTACCAGCTGTGTCACACCTATGTTCGCTGCACACGCTCAGTTTCCATCCCGGCCCCAGCCTACTATGCCAGGTTGGTGGCTTTCCGAGCCCGCTACCACCTGGTGGACAAAGACCATGACAGGTAAGGGAGCCTCGTATGTAACTACAACAATGTCATTATCAGATAAAACATAAATGAGTGTTTAAGATGTTTCTAAAACCTTTCAAATTAACCACATTGTTTAAGTTCTAATGTAAAACTTTTTTTTAAATTGGTTTTTAATATAGAAGTCTGTGCATCAACTCACTTAAACCTATTAGTTTAAAACTCTAAAGCACCTAAAAGCTAAATTATTAAATGGCTTTCTAATCGGTATTGATGGTACAGAAAGGAAAACCGTACTGACACTACTTTTTTGTCTTGCAGCGCCGAAGGCAGCCACGTCTCAGGCCAGAGTAATGGCCGAGACCCCCAGGCATTGGCAAAGGCAGTTCAAATCCACTATGATACCCAGCACACCATGTACTTTGCCTGAACTAGCCTGTCAGCCAGTCCACTTGTGGATCTACCCCATATATATATTTTTTTTCTTTTTAAATCCATCTGCCCCATTCCCCGTTTTCCTTCTTCCCTCTCTCCTTGTAGTCTTTTCTTCATACTCACTCTACATTTTCTGAATCTGCACCAAAGCGGCTCGTGGAGGGGGATTCATCTACATCCCAACGTCCAGCAGGCTCTGTTTCATGGAACAATTTCCAACCAGCGTTCCCAATCGAGCCGCCCTTTTAACCAGCAATCCAGCACTGCGAACCCACAGGGGTTTACAATGCACAAAAGAGAAAAACGCGAAAAAACAAAAACAAACCATACACACATCTACGAGTTGAGCCATTATTTTGCGTTTGTTTTTGTTTTTTCTATTTGAATGTCTGTACTCATGTGTTTATAAGATACACTGAGCGAGAGAGTGGGCAGGCGCAAACTGTGCCCGCACAGCTCTTTAGCTCTCCCAGCTAAGCAGGACTCTTATCTACTTTTACCTCAAAGCCCTTTTGGGCAAAATCTGTCACAAGGTCTTGGGTTTATCGGGTGGTGGGGAGGGAACTCTACATGAACAGAGATGGAGGGGGGTTGATCTTTTGAGAATGATATCTATATCTATATATATTTTCCTTTTTATGAGCATGTGTTTTAACTTTTTCTCCTTTTTCGGTCTTTTACAAGCGAGGTGACCTGGGTGTCCATACCCATTGCGACTTTCCTCCCATCTTAGCGAAGAATACGCAAGTGTGTGTGTGTGTGTGTGTGTGTGTGTGTGCATCTCTGTATATACATTTACTGCTGTATGAGAGTGTTTGTGTGTGTTTCATGGCAGGCCACTGAATTGTAAAGGGAAATCAAGGAGATAACTGCTGTAAATGCCTCAGATTTGTTGTGTTTTATATTCACACATACAGTACATATAAGCATATATTTACATCTATAGAGCAACTTTGAGACATATGACTTAAACAGGCCTCATAGAGGCACGTGTGGGTATTTGTAGCAGTCCTGGGTCACTTATTAAATGAAATGCTTTATTACATTTAGTGGTTGTGTTAGCCTGCTGCTTGCACAGGCTGGATAGGGATTTGCACCTTTGGGAGACGGCTGCTTTCTTGTGCCTCTAAACATCCTTGAATCCCAGAGTTCATTTCAAGTAGTAACTGAAGCCAGGACTGATGTGTAGCAGTAGCAACCATGGTCTGGCCTGTGACTGGTTCAGCATTGGGACCTGTTTAAAAAGCTGAAGGCATTAAACACAGTATGTTTTTATCAGTCTTGCTTTCTGTGTGAAAAGTGGTATCCAATTTTTTAAAACTTTTTAAGAAGGGTTATGACACTGCTGGACATTTTTAAATTTGTTTTCAAGGAACCTGGAACCAACTTAATTTTGATTTTTAAGGTCTCCTTTGCTAATGTTGGCCAATTCATTGCACTGACCAGGGATGCTAAGCAGGAACCAGAGGGCACTGTCAATCTCTTACCTTTATGCATTTATACATACGAATCAACAAAGCAGATTTGTAAAAGTTTAATATAAGATGTTTTGTGGTTATCTTAAACTGTTTTAGACCTAGTAGTTTACTGTTGTTGTTCTCGTTGTTGTCACTGTTGTTACTATTGTGATCAAATTTTTAAGGTCTGCAGCGAAGCCAGTTATATAGCTACTAGTGTGATTTCAGGAATAGACTTCAGTTGTTGAGCTGCAGGTTGAGGGGTTGAGTTTTCAGATTGGAAATTTTATTTTATTTTATTTTTTTTTGTAGCATTCTGGTGAGAGGTAGTTCTCAGGATGGATGAATTCGCGCCTCTTCTGCAGGTTCTGATGTAACGGTGGCCGACTCTAGTTGTCTTGTAGCAGTCAGACTGGTGTAACAGGTCTGCCATGGTGGTGTACGTCCCGCACCGGGTGTTGGCTGGTTTTGATCCGATAGATGGAGACAATCGGGAAATGTTGTTATGGTAGGCAATGAATTGAATTGAATTGTTTTTTTTAAAAACAATTTTACTCGGCGTGTATGTCAGTTATATCCATCTTACAATTCTCTATTTAACAGTATTTTTTTTGTGCTTTTTATGCATTTCAACACTGGATTAAATTGACGGTAAATAGAAGCGCTGCCCTTGGGAACCCCCCCCGCCCTCCCTTTTTTTAACATGGAAACTAATGGTGACAGACGTACAATTGGCTCCCCCTAATGTTGCTTTTGGATAATAATGCAGGACAGCAGGCTTTGGGAGAAATGTGCACGCCTCATCGAGAGGGACAGCTCAGTGAAAACCCTTTTGTAATAAACCACCCGTAAAGCAGCAGGTTTACTATGAATGAGTTTGAGCTCCGTCTTGATGTGGGCGTGGGCATCAAGTGGAGAAGCAGGAAATGAGTAGCAGAAGGGGGACTGGGGAGGATGTTTTCCAGGCGTTGCTTGCAATAAGTTTTAAATGATGCAGATTAGTTTTTACAGTGTGCAGTTCTGTTAGCAGATTTGATTAAATATTCATCTGGGATCTCCAAGGGGGAATGTTTAAATCACAATATTTGGTCATTAAAATCCAGTCAGATAAAGGCTCACTCCCTGTTTATAAATATTACAAAGCAATATTAACCCAAGTTTTCAAATATGGTTAAAAACAAAGATATAATTCTACTCATTGTGATTGTTGGTCACTCGCTATCAAATCTCTGTATTTTATTTTTTTTAATTTTACTTTTATTTTTTTTTTTGTAAACATGATTTGCTTGTATCAATCAGTGGGAATGTGCATTCGGTGGAGTAGTTGTGTAGGCTTTAGACTCTTTCTTTCAAGTAACAAAATGTAGACTTTGCTCGCCTGCATGCCAGAGTATTGTCCTTTAAAAAAAACAAAACGACAAAAAACAAAAAAACTGAAAACCTTTTTGGAGTCATATTTATTATGAGAGAAAAAAAAAATATAAACTTCCTTTTTTTTGGGGCGGGGTAAATGTTTATCAATTTAGTGGGACTGTTTTAGGCTAGCAATATTTGTCTGTCTCTCTTTAAGATGTATTTTAAAGATTCCTACACAAATGTCAGTAATTTGGGAGGTACAAGCTGTTTTTTGAGGTGAGGGCTTCTGCGCTTTGCGTCGTGTTCCAAATCAAACGAGGTACTTTCTTCAAACGTGGACCCGTTAAAGACCGAACTCCTTTCCTCTGAGCCAGGTTACTGTAGAGAGCATCCATTTCGTCTTCTCGCTCCTGGTTTGTACCTATTGCCACGCCTATTGGTGGGCGCTCTCCTGTTTCCATGGCAACTCCGCTGACCCTTCACAGATATACTTCCTCTTTTGTGTAGAGGTCCCCAAGGCATTGACGGAGCAGGATTACCTCTTTTTAACCTTTTTAAAACAAGATCCATAATTCTTTCTGTGCCCCAATGGAAAGAGCATGAATTATTTTTAAATTCCTCTCACTTTGATATATTATATCTTGACAGATTTGTAATTTGACATTGTGTATTATGTCTTTTTCCCCCTTTTTTGTTACCCTTTTTCCCACTTTTTTTTTTCTTTTTTAGGTTTGTTATAGCTCTGCTTTATTTTTTTATTTTTTCCTGCTAGTGGTCTCTGAAACTGTGTGATTGTCTAATAGCAATAGAATCACAGAATCTGAGCGATCCGATTCTGGGAATCTGGTGGTTCAGATTCTGTGAATGAACGGAATCCTTTAAGTTGTAAAGGGGCAGGGTTCGTTCTGTCCCTGCCCTCAGAAGGCCATTCACTTGCTGTTATTGCTATTATGTGACATGTTGAATTGGTTTTTGTTGTTTTTGTTCGCCTGCAGGGAATTCTTGTGTTAATGTGCAAAGTAATAAATGGGTATTTCATGCCTATAACATAACTGTGTGCGCTCGTCATTGACATTTAGCCTGTAATATTGATTAAAAGGTGGATTTATGCCCACAGAGCTAGATCTGCACTTGACACCAAAGCCTACATATGCATTTATTGTCACTAGATGGCATTCTTTACCAAAGTAAATCAGATTACAGGATGATGGCACTTGGTAAAATATTAATGATGTAAGCTGTTCCTGTCCTTGGATGCAGCTGAATAGTGTAACAATATCAGATATATTCTGTCTTAAGTAGCCTGAAGAAATCTGAACACATTTAATTTTTTTTTTTTTTTTTTTTTTTTTTTTGCTTTAGTAAAGCAGGTGTTAAGTTAGTAGTCCTGGCAAGAGTGTAGGGATGGGGTCCTGTATGTGAACAGTGACTTGAAATGTTGAGTATTTAAAAAAAAAAAAAAAAAAAAAAAAAAAAATAGAATTCAGTTTTGGAAATTGAAAGTTTAAGAATGTAGTGCAAGTAATGGGATAAATTTTTATTTTTCTCAACAAAAAACCCAAACAAAATACATGCTGTACAATACAGAAAAGGGTCCAAAGATTAATGGAAATTGTTGTGGGGGCATATTTAACAGTATAAGTAGGATATTTTCTCTTAATGATTTCATTGTCAAAAAATGTGACGCTTTGTCCTTTATTGTAAATAGTTTGGTTTTTTTGGGTTTTTTTTTTTAAACTATAAAACCTTTAACTACAAACTTAACTATATTTTATATTCATTATACATGATGCAAGCATTATGACTTTTTTGTTGTTGTGATGACCATGCCTATAGCTCATGAAAATCAAAGCCAGTTTAAATTTAAAGAACAAACTATTCACATAAATGTTTGTCTTGGTATGCAGACCTTGGTAAATACCTGCAAACACAATCAGAGGGAAGACTGCTTATTTGATGGTTGTTTAGATGTCTATCATTGATGTTCTCTAATAGGAGGATAAGCCACAGGTCTTGCTGAAAAGGCTGGCTGTATGGAGGTGTGTAAATAATAAAGTTGGCTGAAGGGGAAAAAGTATGAGGGAGACAAAGAGCATGGCCACAGACTTGAGAGGACTGTCAGGAAAAGTTGACTCAAGAACATCACAAGGAGTGAACGGAGGCTGGTGTCAGTGTATATAGACGTCTTCATAACAGGCGGTATAGCTGTTGCTTTACTACTGCTGTCAAACCACCCTGAACCAGAGACTTTAGAAGTGTCTTATGGTAAGTGGAAAAAGAAGTGGACTACTGCTCTGTGGTCCTCTTTTCAGATAAAAGTACGTTTTGAACTACATTTGGAAATCAAGTCCTTTTCAAATAATAATGGATTGCATTTATATAGCGCTTTTCAAGACCCTCAAAGTGCTTTACAGTTCCACTATTCATTCACTCTCACACACTGGTGGAGGCAAGCTACAGTTGTAGCCACAGCTGCCCTGGGGCAGACTGACAGAAGCGAGGCTGCCATATTGCACCATGGGCTTCTCTGGCCAACACCAGAAGGCAGTAGGTGAAGTGTCTTGCCCAAGGACACAACAACCAAGACTGTCCGAGCCGGGACTCGAACTAGCAACCTTCCTATTACAAGACAAACTGCCAACTCTTGAGCCACGATCGCCCACGCTTTTCTGGAGGAAAAGTGGAGAGTGTGGTCTGTGTATCAAGTGCTGGTGGGTTTTGATGGTTGATTGGTCCACTGTGTTTTATCAAAAAGTCAATGCAGTTGTCTACCAGGAGATTTTATAGCACTTTATGCTTCCACCTGTTGTCAAGCTTTATGGGAATGCTGATTTCCTTTTCCAGCAGGACCTAGCACTGCCCACAGTGACAACTATTATAAGTCTCAAGTTATGGCAGCTATCAAATCAACCTTCAACAACACCTTAGCAGGCTTAAAAGGCATGCAATGAATAAAGACTATATCAGTGTTTCCCTTTTTGAAGAAAATTGTTGAAAGAATTTTTTTTTTAAGATGCATTACTATATACTGAAAAAACAACAACACAACATTTACTAAGAAGGAACTGGTCAAATAACCAGGTGGCTGCCTGTTATATTTGTGCACCTCAGGTAAAGAGGTCAGCAGTCAGCAAATGCAACCTGTAACGCAAGCAATCAACCTGGGATAGTGAATTGGTTGCTTATAAAGTCCCAAGCTAGGACTTGAAGCATTCCACCATTAAACCATATTTTCAAAATTTAAGCTCTAAAGTATTTGTCTTTCCCATGTGTATTTAAGATTTAAGTTTAGAGTAATTTCACTGCCGCCTACTCCCTTAAAGGAAAACTCAAACACACACATCTGTCTGTTTATCTGTTCACTGTGACTCGCCATTAGCGGTATGTGCCACCTTCCTCTGCCCCCCCTTTGTGTATCATCTGTCTCCGCTGCATTTCCTGTGTCCCGGCTGGTTGTCATGACCACTGTTACCAAGGCGAGCGGAGGCTACAGAAGAAAGGAAACCTGAACCACAGATCTTGATGCCACGATATTTAATTCATCAGCACAACACACCACTAAGGCCAAATGCAGAGGGAATAAGGATTCTTTCTTGGGTGGAAAATATGTTGAAATGAAAACAAAGACCTGCTGTCAGATCCTTCTGTTACACTGCCCCCAGCTATTTATGTGCCAAACAATTCACCATAATAACTGCAGTTGGTATTTCAGCTTGTTAATGTTTCAGTAGTCTGTGTCTAACTGAAAAACATGAAAGTGTTTAGTAAGAAATTGCAGTTAAGTGAATTTGAAAATAAACCCCAAACAAATTGTGATCTCTTATTTATTTATTTATTTATTTATTTATTTATTTATTTTTTGTGTAGCCTCACAACATTTTATCCACAGTCAAAAAAATAAAACCATGAAAAGCTGCTTCGCCCTTTCGCTGCAGACAAAAAGAGGCAAGTGAAAGCTATTTTTGTGTTGTCTTCTTTAAAATTCACGTGATTACGTGTGGTATGGAGCAATAGAGTTTGTAATCCCCATTGTAGGAGCCCACTCCATGTTGTCTTTGTGTTAGCTGATCCACCTACAGACACCGCTCCATCCTGAGTTTGCCCATGCCTCCCTCCCTTTTGTTGTCTCACCCTCTTTCGCCCTCTCCCTCCCACTCGCCTGTTTTATTGTGTTTTTTTTTTTTTGTGGGGTTCAGTGGTGCTTTCCACAGGTTGGATATCAGAGGGGATGAAGGTAAGGGGGAGGGATCTTATGCTCTACTTACCCAGAAGTCTGACTTTGCAGGCCTGATTTCTTATTTATACCCTTGTTAGATCTGGACTGACCCATCTGGGCTGCACTGCTACTAAAGGAAGTGGCTGAGGGAGGGTGAAGCTGTGCAGCAGCTGAAGCCTGAAGTGGCCTCATCAAGGCTTGGACCCCAGCGCCATATATTGTCAGCTAAGAGACACTTCAGCTGGCAACAGCAGCGGTGTCTGAAGATAAATTCTGCAGGTTGTTTTCTACAGGAAAGCTGTTCTTTCAGAGGACGAAGACTACAAAAACCCGTTGCTTTGAGGCTTAATGTGGATTTGGGATTCTTTGGAGGAAAAAGGAGGCTGGAGTACCCTCTTTAGGTTGATCACGGTTCATATTTTGTCCATCCTTCTGGAAGCATAAGGAGTAGAAACTGGCTTTCGATGACCAGGAGGTAAAAAGCTACGCTGTTTTATTCTGTGTAATTGAGAGTCACTATATTCAACCTCCTGTGAAAGGATACACTCATAGCATCATCAGTAGCCTCGGATCCAGGTATCAGGTTATATCAGTCTGATCCATCTAGGTAAGGCTACACCAAAACCAAGAGTGACACTGAAGTAAACAGCAGCTCAGGAGTCCTGAGTTCAAGGAAAAAAGAAGCACTTCCACTGAAAAGAAAAGAAAAACTCCTGGCAGAGATCTCTCTTCCACCGGTCCTGCATTATAAAGCCTGATTGATCCCACATCTGCAGGCTGCCACAGGTGGCTGCACAGGTATTGGCTACTCAATAATGCACCGACTCAAACTTGAAAAGGAGGAGAAAGTGCGCGAGCCTCTGATCCCCTGAAAAGCTGGGTGTCTGTTGAGGGAAAGCAAGCGATTACTTCTGGATAACGCAGCGCACTGAGACGCGTGGAAGTGGAAACTGTGAGCAGATGTTGAGAAGGAAAAGAAAAAGAGAAGAACATGACTTTGACAAAGTGACATTAGGGCAAAGACCATAAGACGCTTGGCCAAACAACAAAAGGAAAAGAGAAGAACACTTAAATAAAAAACAACTTGGAAGACTGATAATAAGGAAAAGATCTTGTCAAAGAAGCTAAAGACAGAGAACAAATTAAACATTAAGAAATAGCTTCACATCCAGTTTTTTCATCATGGTGAACACCGGGATGCAGCTGATCAGCTTCACCTGTGCGGTGACCGGCTGGATCATGGCGATCGCTGTCACAGCCTTGCCTCAGTGGAAGGTCTCAGCCTTCATAGGCAGCAACATCCTGACCTCAGAGATCAAGTGGGAAGGGATCTGGATGAACTGCATCTACCAGACCACGGGTCACATGCAGTGTAAGACTTATGACTCCATGCTGGCTTTGCCTCCCGACATCCAGGCAGCCCGTGCTCTTATGTGTCTGGCCATCTTCATGGGCTGGCTCTCCTGCACCGTGTCCTGCTGCGGCATGAAGTGCACCACTTGTGCCGGGGACGATCGCCAGGCCAAGGCGGGTATAGCGCTCTCAGGTGGAGTTCTCTTCATTTTGACAGGCCTGTGCGTATTAATTCCAGTTTCCTGGACTGCCAATACAGTCATCCAGGATTTCTACAACCCCAACGTGCCTGTGATGTACAAAAGAGAGCTGGGCCAGGCTATTTATTTGGGCTGGGCGGCTGCAGTTATTCTCATGATCAGCGGAGCTGTGTTGAGCAGCACCTGCCCGCTCATGGAGAGGGGAGGCAGGTACCGGAGGGGCTACATAGGGCGGAGTTTTGCAAATTCACCTGCTACAGCACCAGATTTCCCAAAGCCTATCACTTCTAATAATTTACCACTGAAGGAGTATGTGTAGGAAAGGAAGAAGGACAGAAGAGCTGATACTCTTAAAAATGGTACAAAGATCATGAATTTTAAGGTATAAATTCAAACATATATTTATGAATACGTATTTTGTATATCTCTTTGTCATGTTTGTCTTCAGTACGTTGAGATTTGATGTTTTCTGTTCTCTGAGTCATAGCAGTGCCTGAAGAAAGCCTTTAGTCTTTGCTGTAACAGTATGACTTGATGATGGCTTTAATGATGGCTTGTGTTTTGAAGATTGCAGTGATTACTTAAGTCAGAAAATTGTGAAATTAAAAAAAAAAAATCTGGCAAAGTGTGCTTAAAGTATTTTGAAGTAGTTGCTTTTCTTTGTGTGTGCTGGACTTTTGTTCTATTTAGGGTCACTCTGTCGACATGCATATGACAAACCCAAAAAAAGTACAGACATTCTGTATTTAAGTAGAAGTACACCTACTAGTGTTGAAAAAAAAAAACTCCTGTAAAAGTTGAAGCACCAATTAAACTTCTAAAAGTGAAAAAGTACCAGCTCTGAAATGTATTTAAAGTAAAAAGGTAAAAAAAGCTCCTTGAGGAATATTTCTACCAGCTATTCTTATGCAAAGCTGACTGAGCCTTAAATAACACAGTCTACCTCCGTTTTGTTTTGCAGCATGTTTCACAATACGAAAAACACACAATGCCGCATGTACAGACCCAATATCTGATTTAAAAACACGAGGACTTACAAGCAAGCTTTACATTTCCAGTGTAGCACACCCCACTGAGCATTCCTTACCTTTAACTCTAACCTCTTTTCTTCCTCTCGTGTCGTCTTTCTTACCTTTATCCATCTCTGAGCGAAATTAGCTTTCTTTCTTTTCTTTCCATCAAATACAGTAGCTGGACCTTTAGCTAGCAACACACTGTGCCACAAACTGGAGACACAAACGGTTGAGTGAGCTGAGCTGAGCTGATAGAAACTCTTAATTTAAAATTACCTGCTTGTTTTCTGTAGGGCTAGCTAGATGATGAAATACTGTGAAATAATAACTCCCGTCAGATCCGTTAATCCAAATTCAAAAATATATGTTTAAAAATGTAGTGAGTAAAAGTAAAAAGTTGTAAGAAAAGTACAGATGCCTCAAAGTTCTACTTAAGTACAGTAATGAAGTAAAAGAAAGTATCATGTTTTTGCTCAGCTTTAAATTAGACTACGTTTTAAGTTTCTAGGAGAATACTTTTTAATACGTGTAAGTTGTTAAGCCGTACCTCACTAAAACCACTAAATTAAGTGTTATATACTCATGGAAATGTACATGTATTAATTTGGTGATGCAGAAAATACATACCTGTACATTTTTTTCTTTTCTTTTTCTTTTTTCTTTTTTCCTTTTTCTTTCTTTTCTTCTCTTTTTTTTCTCTCTTTCTGTGTATGTCTTAGTAATACATTTAAACTGATACTGAAGTAGGCGAAATCCTAATAAGAACAACACATATACTTGATTATAAATCCCTAAAACAGTCTTGTTAAAAAGGTTTGATAAATGATACACTTCTCCCATTTTAACTTAGCAGTACACAACCTATGTTCTACAATAAATAAAGCTTTCTGTGAACTTATATATGTGTAACAATACGATGGTTTCACTGATCCTATGCTGTCTGCGCTTTTTTACTTCTCTCTTTTTTTTTCTTTTTTTTTTTTTGCCTGTCCCGTTTGGCTCTTTTGCCATCAGAATTGTTGTCTAAAGGCAAAGAAAGATGCCCAACGGATTTACTTTACCAAATTGACCATCCCAGCCTTGCCATAATGGTCCATTTGATTCACCTTTTATTGTTTATTTTATTTTCACTTACTGAATACGGGACAGACTTCACTGGGGGAAAGAAGGGGAGAAAGAAAGAGGGAAAGAGAAACAGCTGAGAAGAGGGACGGGGGAGAAGGGCAAAAGACAAAAACCAACAGAATGAGCAGAAAAAAAAAGAAAAAAAATGCATATATCAATCACCTGGATCACCTGCTGAGAAAGAAAAAAGAAAACAAGCAGAAGAGAACAAGAGTAATAGAATAAACAGCATCACAATGATATATGGGAATATGATAGTAAATACTAAATATTAAACATTATTGTGCAGCACATAAGATCAACAGAACACAGTGTGCTTTGAGGTAGGAGCCAAAAAGGGTGTAGTTTGTGGGTGTGATCACCCGTGTGTACACCTGTGAGCATGGACGTGCTTGTTTTTTTAAAAGGTTCCTTCATGTAATGAACTGCTAGAGGGTGTGGGGGGTCCACAGCCCCGTCCTCCAGGGCATGAAGCAGCTATGGAGGAGATCAAAACTCCAGACATCCAGAGGCCCCCAGAACACAAGAGACCAAGGAAGACCAACAGAGGGGCAGCCGCGCCACTGTCCCAGAAAGAGCTGAGGAGAGTCCCAGATGAGGGCTCACTCAGCAGCCGCGGAGCAGAAGCCAGGGGGAGTTGCAGTGACGCGCCCGTGAGCTCCGCCGGCAGCCAGCCGTGCCTGAGTGACCGAGCCCCAGGCCGAGAGGCCGGGGGCACCCCACCTCTGAAGTGGCCCGAGCGAGCCCCAGGCTCCAGGCCCCGATAAGCGGCCGCCAAGGAGTGAGCCGGTGTGTACCTGGACGCCCACCCCCGGACACAAAGAACCACCAACGCACCGACACCTGAGGGAGTCCGCCACTGGCAGGGAAAGTGGTGGTAGGGGGAGATAGGCCTCCAAACCTTGGAGGGCCTGAGATGTCCCCAGAGAGGTGGCGCCTGACACCCAACCTGACATATAGACACAGAAATACAGGCACACACATTTACAAACATCCATTCCCACCCTCATGCTCTCATATGCACTTACTCCACACTCAACCAACGTGGAGACAGACATAAAGAGACGCTGTACACACGATCACACTCCCCAAGCGTACTCTACAAACCGGGTCTAGGTACCCTTACCCCTGGAGGGGGAACTGCACCCAGACCCAGGTGGTGTTTCCCTTTTCCCTGCGGTGGGGGGAGGCAGACCACCCCGACTCCGCAGCAGCAGGGAGGCCCCACACTCCAGACCGCAGTCGGACGGCCAACTCCTCCTCCTAGCCCCCTGCTCCAGCAGGTCGCAGAGAACGGGGGTGAGAGAAGACTCCAAACCTCCCTCCACCCGCTCATTGTAGTGTTGATGCATGTGTGTTCTAAGGTGCATTTAAAACCCAGGAGGGCATGGAGCTACCTCCCAGAGAGCAGCAGGTAAGCGCATGGTCCCTCCTGCTAGCCCTCAATGTCTACGTGTATTTAACCTTGAGAGGTGGGCAACGACGCCAGGGGTGGGGTGTACACCCTGATGGTACTTTGGATTCCGTGTATCGTGCCCACCCCCAAGATCCTATATGTATGTGTAATGAGAGTGTGAGTAATGTGAATGTCTAAGTTGTGGGATAAAATTGAGGCAGAGGCAGCCAGAAGGGGACGGGGGGGGGGGGGGGGGTAGCCTCCTCTGCACCCTGGTGACATACCCCTACTCCAAGGTCCTGCATGTGTGGGTGGTTGTGGTGGAGCGGGAAGAGGGAGGCAGCTGGAGATGGGGAGGGAAGGAAGGGAGGGGCAAGTGACCCCTCCCTGGGGCCAGCTCCCCCGCTGACCCCAGTAGGCACCCCCATACTCCGCGACCCGCCAGGGAAAGGGGGCCCAGGCCCATCCAGACCGGGGCCCAGTGCAGCAGCGCCGCCCGGCCCCACAGAGCCCGGGACAGTCCACCCAACCCCACCACAGAGAAAACTGCACCCACCCCACCATCCACTCATCTTCCAGACTACATAAGACAGTAAACACCCAGGCTGAGATCTTCCTCCACCTCTCCTGTATCTCCCCCTCCTGCAGAGAGAGCTCCTGAGGAGAGGAAAGCTCCTGCAAGATGTGACAATCTCCCCCACCAGTTGAAGAGCCCCCCAGGTGGCTCGATGCACCGGCGGCACCCTGCTCCAGGGGTGGGCCCCCATGCACCCACCCGCCCACAACCCCGGCAACACACCAACCAGGACCCAAGCCCCCGAGGCCCGGCCCGGGCCCCAGCCCAGAGACGGAGCGCCCCCAGAACCTCACGCCCATCCCGGACCCACCCAGGGGCAGCCAGGCTACCAGGTCAGTAACCCACGTCCGTCAGCACAGACCCTCCCCTAGCCCCGCTGCACGCAGCCGCGAGGAAACAGTCACCTGAGAGCCAACAGAGCCCCTAACCGGACATGACCGCTACCCCGGGTTGAGCCCCCCAAGGAAGATGCCTCCGGGGAACCCCCCGACGCCCTAAGCCTGTCCCTACCCCACACCAATCACAACAGTGAAGGCGGGACCAAACTATGACCCCCCACCCCACTAGGTGATGGAGCTGATCAAAGGAGCCCAGAGCAATTGATCTGATGTGGTGGCAGAGGCTGTATCAAGACTAATGTAATCTAATAGATAATTTCTATATTGGTTAGAATTAAGATTATTTTTATTTTTCTAGTTCATGAGGACTGTTTTCTTGGCTATGCATAGGGCAGTGAAAACCATATGGGTGATATTCTTTTCTGAAGTGACATTATCTAAGCTGCCCAACAAACACACTAAGGGGGAAGTTGGAATGTTACATTTCAGACACTTCGATAAGTCTTCACATATCTCGCGCCAAAACTTCTGAACTGGTGGACAGAACCAAAGAGCGTGGATATAATTGTCCGGTGAATTGGTTTGGCAGTGTGAGCAGTTGTTGGTAGACGTAAAGCCCATCTTGAACATCCGATGACCTGTATAGTGCACTCTATGTAATATTTTGTATTGAATTAATTGAAGACTGGGATTTCTAATTAGATGAAAGGTTTTTAAGCAAATCTGAGACCAGAAGTTTAGGTCTAAGTTAACTGATAAATCCGCTTCCCATTTTGCAATAGGAAGTGATATTGATTCATCTGTTTTAGAAAGCATTCTGTATATTTTGGATAGTAATTTGGGGGTTTTAAGAGTAAGAAATTGAACCACACTTGGTGGTGTTTGTAGTTCAACTTGACCTGGTTTAAATTTCTTTTTTACTATGGATTTAATTTGTTGATATTCTAAAAATCTTTTCTTGTTGATTCCATATTGTGTAACTAGTCCGTCAAATGAGATAAATTCTGTTCCTTCTAGTATATGTTCTAAATATATGATTCCTTTACCACTCCAATCTGAAAAGTTTATCATATTATTGTTTTGTAATATGTCAGGGTTGTTCCAGATAGGTGTACGTTTGCATGGGATTAATGAAGACGCCGTCAATTTTAGAAACTCCCACCATGCTGTCAGAGAAGAGCTGATGTTGATGCTTTTAAAGCATTCATGTCGTTGGATGTTTGAGCTGATAAATGGTAGGTCTGAGATCTCTAGATTATTGCAAAGTGCTTGTTCTACATCTAGCCAAGGTTAATCTAAGAGGGTATGTTTTAGCCATCCTGAGATAAACTGAAGCCTGTTGGCTAAGAAGTAGTGCTGAAAGTTAGGCAGTTCTAGTCCTCCTTTATCCTTGGTCTTTTGTAGTGTTTTTAAGCTTATACGTGGGGGTTTATTTTTCCAAAGGAATTTGGACATACATGAATCTAGAGATCTGAACCAATCTTGTGGCGGTTTAGTTGGGATCATTGAGAATAAATAATTTATTTTTGGTAAGACCATCATTTTTATAGCGGCAACCCTTCCCATGAGTGATATGGGTAGACATTTCCATCTAGCCAGATCATCTTCTACCTTCTTTAAAAGTGGGATATGGTTTAATTTAGTTAGATTTGACCCCACGGGATGAGATCTTGCGTGGAGCCCCAGATCGAGGGAGATTATCGGTGGTCTTGTATGTCTTCCATTTTCTGATGATTGCTCCCAGTTGATTTTTTCACACCAAGCTGCTTGCCTATTGTAGATTCACTCTTCCCAGTCTGGTGCAGGTCTACAATACTTTTCCTGGTGTCCTTCGACAGCTCTTTGGTCTTGGCCATGGCGGAGTTTGGAGTCTGACTGTTTGAGGCTGTGGACAGGTGTCTTTTATACAGATGATGAGTTCAAACAGGTGCCATTCATACAGGTAACGAGTGGGGGACAGAAAAGCTTCTTACAGAAGACGTTACAGGTCTGTGAGAGCCAGAGATTTTCCTTGTTTGTGGTGACCAAATACTTATTTTCCACCCTAATTTACGAATAAATTCTTTACAAATCCTACCATGTGAATTCATGGATTTTTTTTCACATTCTGTCTCTCACAGTTGAAGTGTACCTCTGGTGCAAATTACTGACCTCTGTCATCATTTTAGGTGGGGGAACTTGCACAATCGGTGGCTGACTAAATACTTTTTTGCCCCACTGTACATTTTGTTATACTTGATATTATTCTGCTCTTGAGTCTCTTTTACACTGCTAGTTTTGTAGCTAATAAAACAGCACACACACACACCAAGAATTTCTGTTCAATCAATACATTTAATTTCACTTGTGCTCAAAATTCTCATACGTACTGGATTAAACTTTTCAATCCATCCAAACTGAATTCAAGATAAATCAATATTTTACATTGGCCCCATTATTTGTAAATACTTATTTGTAGTTTTTAGGCCACCCTGGTTTCCCTTCAAAATAGATCTAGAAGCAGTTTAAGTCCACTCATCCATTTTTAATTGCTGATCCTATCTGGGCTTAACAGTTCATCAGGGAAGACAGAACTATTTATACTTTCACATCCAGGCATCCAATTTACATACAAGTTTGTGTTTTTGGACTGTGGGAAGAAGCCAATGGAACCCCTGCAGGCTCAGGAATAACATGCAAGCTCCACACAAAAACCAACAGTTAACCAGGAGGTTTGAACCAGGAGCTTTCACTGCACCATTGTCCTCCAAGCGATGTTTGTGTGCATCAGTTCAAGTCAATGTGGAGCTAGATTCAGTCATTCTTGTGGATCTCTTTCTTCTCATTGTCTTCATTAAAATGCAGTTATATTCACGATTAGGTAAGTCCTTAACAATCTTCACTGCGACTCCACAAAGAAAGACACTTTGCAAAGTGTATCTGAAAAGAAAAGAGAGAAAGATAATTCGTTTAATAAATAACAGTCACTTCTAGATCCATCAGAGCACTGGTCTCTGGCCAATGTGTACTCAATTATTAAAAGTGAAATTATATCAAGTTAAATTTTGCTACTTGAGCTGAATTTTAAAAGTGTTATGAATACTGGCCATAAAGGTAGGTCCCTTTATGATTGATTATACGTGACAGAAAAAGAATATTTAAAGACGCCCTGTAGTGTAACGGGAAAAAAGTTTAAGTTTAAAGCCGTGATATAATATTTCCCGAATTATGTTTTTACAGTTGTTTTCTAATCTATTGTTTTCAAATCTTTACATGACTTTAGATATATGCTAGACGACAGTCTGTCAGTACTTGTGTTGTTCTGGATTTAAGTACATTTATAAACATCTTCAGCTTCTTTCTATGTTGAAAGAACTAGTCCATTATACAGCATTAATTACAGATGTGAACTGAATGGTATAGTGAAGTACAGGTCATATAATCTAAGGAGCTTAGAAAGAAAAGTTAAGTTGCTTGAAGACGTTTCACCTCTCATCCGAGAAGCTTCTTCAGTTCTAAGGGTCAAATGGTGGAGAGTCCCAGATTTAAACCCAGTGGGAGTATCCCCCCAAAGAGGGGCAAAGCAACTTAAAGAAGTCCAGACGCTTTTCTTTCCAAGCTACTTAGACTACAATGAAGTGGATAACTGAGAACCTTCACAGACATACTAGTCATATACATTTTACCTGTGATGTGGTCCTCAGCACTGGGAGACTCCAATGAGTTCCACCTTTGGGGAGCAGATTCCAGAAGAGAGAGGTCATCTGCTCTCAGTGTTTGAAGCAGAGTTTTCCTCCTCAGGAATCTGAACACAAGAGTTGAGGGGAAAAAAATACCAGTATATAACATAAACATCCAAAACTGAAGAGAGAAAAGGATACTGTTGCCGATAGTGACGCTCAGCATCCTGAAGCCACTCGAGCATGTCAGCAACCGACGGGGTGGTGGTTGATCCCTCAGTTACTGCAAGCAGATCTAAACTGTGTGCGTTCTGCTCGTACAGATGAAGGATTGAAGCAACCTGGTTACTGATAGCATCCCTCGCAGACTGGAGGGAAGACCTGAAAGAAAGAGGAAAGGAAAGAAGGGAGGGTGAGATAAAAATTATAGTATAATATATGCTTTAAGCATACTCTGAGCAGCTTCTGCAAACTGGTACTAATAAGGTTCTTCTCCAAAGATCCATTTACTTACTAAAAAAATTAACTGATCTTTATTACTAAAAAGGATGTAGCTGTACTCCTGTCCGATCAAACATACATAGTTGGATGTGAATACCAATAACGCAGCATCCTCATCAGATATAATAGCCGATTTACTCACATCTTCTCGTTGAGTTTTCCCAGCACTATATCCGTTGCTTCAAGGAGCTTAAAGCGGAGTCTCTCCTCCAGATCAGGAAAACCTCTGAGCGGTGTGTTGGAGATCTGCACGTTGGACAGTGCTCTCGACTGCTCCGCCAAATTCCCGAGAGACACCATCAGAGGGCTGCACTCGGCTAAAACACTCTTCCATACTTTTTGGTTGCTTTCAAGTGTCGCGAAGCTTTTCCTCAGAGCCTGATGAAGCGTAGCTACCGCAAGCGTGGACATTTCAGCAAACGATTTCAGTACTTAGGTGTTCAAAGGGAAAAACACGAAATACATTAAGTCAGCTTTATGTCTTATTTTCCATGAAGGCGACTTTATGAAAAATGACTTTTAAATGATTCTTCCCGCAGCTACAGAACATCACATTTCTACCATGTTGCCTGAACCACTTCCGTTCTCTTGATGTAAACACTGACGTTTGGCGCTACGATAGGCTGAAAACAAAGTGGTTGCGACGCATGGCACATACGCGTCCTAATTGGCTGATCTGGTGTGTTGGCCCCTCCCCGCGCGAAGATTTGAAAACGGCTTTGTGAAGGAAGGAAGGCGAGTCTCGAGGACGAACAGGAAAAACACATTTAGGTAATGATATATACTTTAAAAAATTTATGTAAATACATCTCGGGACAGTTATTTAAAAGACCATAACACATATTGGTAGATGTAAACACAGCTGTCGAAAATAAGGTCAGAAAATAAGCGTTAACTCAGCTAAAGCTACTTGCTAACGTTAGCTTCACCAACAGTTAGCCGCATGTAGGCTGATTTTTTGTTTTTGCATTCTTTTGTTCCCGATTAAGGCCACAATGTTAACATTTCATGGTGTCTATGGGGTGTTAATATACCACACTATACTGCACTACACTGTACTGTACTAGGGTATATTGTAATTACTAATATACTCCGTGTCCGTCAGAAATGGCTCCCAGGAAAAGGACCACCAAACGCAAGAATAACCCCAAGACGGCAAAACTGGAAGCTTTTATGGAGGATTTTGACAGCGAGGGTGATTATTATTACTATTTTTTTAACTCACCATAGAAATGCTACAGAAATACTCCCTGTTCTTTTTTCGGTTGCTCACTTTAGGAGTCGCCACAGGAGAACATTTTCTTCCAGCTCACTATATCCTTAGCATCCTCCTCTGTCTTACCAACCCTCGGAGCGTCCTCCTTCACTGCATCCATGAACCTTTTCTACTTTTCCTCCAGCTTTGGAGCTCAATATTCAACATAATTTGTCCAGTATTTCCACTGTCCCCCCTTTGCACATGTTTATGACATCTGAGCCCTGCCTCTCTAACTTTGTCTCCAAACCACTCAACTTCAACCATCCTTCACATGTACTAATTTCTAATCTGTCCTTTCTGGTCACTACCAATGGAAATCTTGCCTTCACTCTTGCTGCTAACCTACTGCTACAAATCACCACTGATGCTAACATCCATCCACCCCACCCTGACACTGTATAACTTAAGCTGAAGTGACAATGTATAACTGAAGCGGAACTCAACATTTGTGTTTCTGCAGTGAAGACTAGAGTTGGACAGGTGAAAGAGAAGATAAACCAGCTGTTGAAAGATGTTGACAACAGCTACAACATGGCAATAATTAAGCTCCCCAAGGCTGTCAGACAAATGAACTGGTTGGAGCATTGGAGTAAGTATACATAGATTATTGACTAACAAATCCCAAATCTATAAAGAAGAAATGCTCTTGAGCCACAGAGACTTTTACAGCATTCTGCTTCCTATTTTTTAAAAAAAGCTAATGGTACATTTTCAAAAATCTGTGCATTTGATCTTGGATGAATTTCATTTTTAAACAGCATTAAATAAAGAATATTTACATCTCTGCAGAGTCTGAGAAACCACAAACACCAGAACTCGATAATGCAAAGGTCAGTTGATTAGCCTTCTCAAATTATACTTAATATACGTTAAGTATATATAAGTTTCATGCTTGTGCAAGGATGCTCTGTTCTGCATAAACACTCAGTTATATTTGCTTTTATAGAGAAAAGAGGAAGCTGCACTCGTGGAAAGTGTTGTGGCTAAGGATCATACATCTCTTCTAAAAACAATTGAGAAAAGTGAGTTAAAAGTAGTTTATATATTTCCCTTGAAACAAGAAAACCATTTCCCTTTAGCCAATGCAATTTGTTTTGTCCAATCCACAGCATTAAAGATGAAAGGTGGGGCTACATTGAGCTCTGAGGATGAAAACGTCCCAAGCACAACAAAAAAGGTAATGACTGCTTTTCATACAGTCATACATGAGAGCAACTACATACAGCTGTTGTTATGCAGGATCCTCTGTTTGCTTCTTTTGTGGTGTTTTAAATGCTTGTTTATAATTTAGGGGAGAACTACCAGAAAGCCCCCGACTAAAACAAAGAGGGCAAAGGCGCTGTCGATCAGCAAGCAGAGCTCCACCATCAGACGGTAAGCTCTTTTACTTTTTGTATTGTTCTTTTTCTTTCTTTCTTTTCTTCTTCTTTCCTCCCGTGCTAAAAACTTTTGGAAGCAAGTTTGGTGGCTAACAAATGTGATGCTAACACATTGTCATTGTTTGGATTCAGATCAAACAGGAACCCCCTGATTACTCCTGCCAGAAGCTTGCTGGATTCTTCTGTGATGATGGGACCCACTCCTCTTATTACCCCCCGCTTTGACCCAAGGTACACCTTAGAATTATACTGTGTCACTCTAAAGATGGTGTTTGTGTCAATGGCAATTAGTGTTCTAGTTGATTGAGAGGGGAGAAAACGTATTTATAAAACAGTTAAAAAAAGGATTCAAAATTGAGCACAGATGAAGACGGGTCAGATTTATATTGTGCATAAGATACTAGACTCACATACTGGTCAGGTTAGTTTGCTGTGTGTGGATAACATTAGCAGTGCACCAGTCGTCCTCACAGGTTGACATCTACACCTGTGCTGAATGTGGTTATTCAGTGCAGCTCACTGAAGACTTCTGCATTGTTATGTCTTTATATTGGGGCGATCGTGGCTCAAGAGTTGGGAGTTCGCCTTGTAATCGGAAGGTTGCCGGTTCGAGCCCCGGCTTGGACAGTCTTGGTCATTGTGTCCTTGGGCAAGACACTTCACCCGTTGCCTACTGGTGGTGGTCAGAGGGCCCGGTGGCGCCAGTGTCCGGCAGCCTCGCCTCTGTCAGTGCGCCCCAGGGTGGCTGTGGCTACATTGTAGCTTGCCATCACCAGTGTGTGAATGTGTGTGTGAATGGGTGGATGACAGGTTGTGTAAAGCGCTTTGGGGTCCTTAGGGACTAGAAAAGCGCTATACAAATACAGGCCATTTACCATTTACCATATTCAGTGATTTATTACTGAGACATAGTACTGAGATATTTTTACTAGCACAAATTCATTTACAGTTCATGCTGAATAGATAGTGATTCTGTGAAAACATGGGCAAACAGACAAACAAATGCTCAAAGTATTGTATTAAAGCTCAGGCTTCTCGTTAAAGCAAAATCTCTGCTCTCATAGAGCTGTAAGTGGATCTAGTGTCTTTGAGTGTTAGAAAGTGTGTGGGGACTGGAGACTTGCTGTAATCTGGCAGCCCCTGCTATTTACTCTGTAATGTTGACATTTCCTACAAAGAAGGCTTCATATTACTCACTACACCTCAGGCTTCCCAAGACCCCCGCAGTGAGAGTTCCCCGCCACAAGGAGAGGGTCTATAGCATTTCAGTCAACGGCTCTCCCATTGCAGCAGGAAATGAGGATATTGTCATCAATGTTCCCGTTGGGAATGGAGAGGTGAGTGCACATTTAGTCAGGCTCAGAGCTTCAGGTACTATTGATCAGTCAGTTGTTTAAGAAATGATTTTAACAAGGCAGCAGAGGAAACGATATTTACTGAAGAAATTTAGATGTCTATTTTCAGGAAGATAAAACATTGAATACTTTGTTATATATGGTTTATTGAAAATGAGCTTAAAGATGCATTAAATCGGCCTTCAAGTCTTCTGCTTTCATGTTGATTTTATACTGTGTTTATGTTGATGACTGTTTAGTTACATTTGATGACTTCATGGCTTTTGAGTAATTAATTGTCTAACAAAACTCTTGATTAGAAGGCTAATTCTCAAAAACGAAATCACTAACACAAGTGTCCTTAACATATTGATCCAGAGCATTCACCTGCTGGCCAGTCAGATGGACTCAGTAGATCTGTCACTGCTGGACGAAACCGCCATGAGGAGCATTCGGCAGCTGCAGGTAAAAATTCCAGCAGGACAGCGTTACTTGCAGTTTCATCAGCTTTTCATCACTGTTTTGTTGCAGCTTTAGCCAAATTTTGATGTGAAATATTTGCATATGCTTTGATTCTCATCATTTCTTTTTATTTTTCCCAACAGAATCGACTCACAACATTGTGTGGGACATCAGAGTGACCAAACAGTCTGCCACGGACGTGTACTATACTTTTTTTTTTTTTAAAAACAAGTTTTATCTCTATTATAAAGCTTTCATCATTCTATAATGTGGCATGTTTTTTTTCTTCTTCTTTTTTTTGCCTTTATACAGTTTATACTTTAACTAATACTTTAGGATACAGTGTAAGGTTAATATTTGTTGCGCTGGACACTGTTTTCTTGAGATCCTTCACATTCACTGGAATTAATCTAGGAGTTAAACTGTTCATTTCATTGTATTTACATTCTCCTAAATTATCTCTTTACTTAAAAAAATTTAATTTTATGTAGTTTCAGATGCTTTTTTGTTGCAGGGGAAATTGGATAGATTTTAGTGCTATTCCAGTCTTTTATTCCTGGCCAGTCTGGATTTAATGGATCTTAATAGGACTTGCATGATAATATCCAACAGAAACATGCAGTATGTGCTTATCAGATACAACTTTCTCTTTATTCTTTTTTTTTTTTTTTTTTTTTTTAAAGTACATTTTCTGATATTATTTGTGTGGTTTGTCATTGCTGCAATAAACCCCCTCCATGTTTCTATCACTAACCTTGTAGTTACATCAATAGTTAAAATGTATACGTCGTGTACATCGTGCACTCTGTCTTCATAACTGTGTGATGTGGCTATTTTCTGGTTTATTGGGGTTTTGTATTCTTAAATATAGCAGATGGCATGTTTGATTTTTATCTTAATTATGCCATAATGTGGAAATTCGTTTTTTCTTTCTTTCAGTGGACAGATTTTTTTTAAGTTGTATCTGTGCATAGTGACCAGTAGGTGGCAGCATTTCACCACAGAAATATTTGTCAGGCACCTGAACAGCCTCTGCTCTTTTTTTTTTTTTTTTTTTTTTATTGTTAAAGGAAAAAAAAGATTTCTGTATCTGATCAAACTTTTTTAACTGCTTGTTATTTACTGGTAGCAAATTTTTATATGT